CTTTTATATTTTAATGAAATTATTAGAGAAAGAAGATGATTTGTAGTACCGTCATCGACTCTTTATCGTTTATCCTTTATCCGGGAATTGAGTTCCCCCCCCCCCCCTCCTCCCGCGCGAAGCGTGGAAATGTTGACGGTTCATTAAATTATTAGAGGAAGAAGACGAATCGTTTTACCATTCTCGTCTCTTAACCCTTCTTTGAATTCAGTTTTCCCCCTCCCACGCAAAACGCGGAAACGTTGATGTTTCATTAAATTATTAGAGAAAGGAGATGATTTGTTGTACCATTCTCGACTCTTAATCCTTGTCTGAATTGGGTTCCCGCCCCCTCACCCCTCCCGCGCGAAACGCGGAAGTTTTGACGTTTCAATAAATTATAAGGGAAAGAAGACGATTCGTTGTACCGTTCTCGACTCTTAATCCTTGTCTGAATTGAGTTCCCCCCCCCCCCCCGAGCGAAGCACGGAAGCTTTGACGTTTCATTAAATTATAAGGGAAAGGAGACGATTCATTGTACAATTCTCGACTCTTAATCATTGTCTGAATTGAGTTTCCCCCCCCCCCTCCTCCCGCGCGAAGCGTGGAAATGTTGACGGTTCATTAAATTATTAGAGGAAGAAGACGAATCGTTTTACCATTCTCGTCTCTTAACCCTTCTTTGAATTCAGTTTTCCCCATCCCACGCAAAACGCGGAAACGTTAATGTTTCATTAAATTATTAGAGAAAGAAGATGATTCGTTGTACAGTCATCGACTCTTTATCCTTGTCTGAATCGAGTTTCCCCCCCCCCCTCCCGCGCGAAGCGCGGAAGCTTTGACTTTTCATTAGATTATTAGAGAAAGAAGACGATTCGTTGTACCGTTCTCGACTCTTAATCCTTGTCTGAATTGAGTTCCCGCCCCCCCCGAGCGAAGCGCGGAAGCTTTGACGTTTCATTTAACTATAAGGGAAAGGAGACGATTCATTGTACTATTCTCGACTCTTAATCATTGTCTGAATTGAGTCCCCCCCCCCCTCCTCCCGCGCGAAGCGTGGAAATGTTGACGGTTCATTAAATTATTAGAGGAAGAAGACGAATCGCTTTACCATTCTCGTCTCTTAACCCTTCTTTGAATTCAGTTTTCCCCCTCCCACGCAAAACGCGGAAACGTTGATGTTTCATTAAATTATTAGAGAAAGGAGATGATTTGTTGTACCATTCTCGACTCTTAATCCTTGTCTGAATTGAGTTCCCGCCCCCTCCCCCCTACCGCGCGAAGCGCGGAAGTTTCGACCTTTCAATAAATTATAAGGGAAAGGAGACGATTCTTTGTACCATTCTCGACTCTTAATCCTTCTCTGAATTGAGTTCCCGTACTCCCCCCCTCTCCCGCGCGAAGCGCTGAAGCTTAGACGTTTCATTAAATTATAAAGCTACAGTCCCATATACGTCCCGGACCGTCCCGGACCGTCCCGGACCCCATCCGGGGTGATCCGGGATTCGGTCCGTGTTGACACCGTGTTGGCACCGGGGTGGTCCTGGATGGTCCTGGATGGCCCTGGATGGTCCTGGATGGTCCTGGGCGGTCCGGGAGTCGACCCCGGATGTTTTTGACGGTCAAAAACTGCCGGGGTGGTCCGGGACGGTCCGGGACAATAGTTTGATCCGGGGTGATCCGTGTAGCCACCGTGCTGGGTCCGGGGTCATCCGTAGTGGCGCCGGGGCGGTCCGTGTTGATCCGTGGCAGTCCGGGAGTGAGTTATTGACCGCCCAGGACCATCCAGGACCATCCAGGACCACCCCGGTGCCAACACGGTGTCAACACGGACCGAATCCCGGATCACCCCGGATGGGGTCCGGGATGGTCCGGGACGGTCCGGGACGTATATGGGACTGTAGCTTAAAAGCATCACACTTTTTTGAACAAAACATCCCGGACCATCCCGGATCACCCCAGACCATGGTCCGGGATGGTCCGGAGTGGTCCGTGCTCGTCCGTGCTGGTCCGGCTTTATATGGGACTGGGGCTTAAGGGAAAGTAGTCGATTCTTTGTACCATTCTCGACTCTTAATCCTTGTCTGAATTAAGTTTTCCCTTGACCGCGCGTAGCGCGTAAGCTTTGACGGTTTATTAAATTATTAGAGGAAGAAGACCAATCATTTATCATTCTTGTATCTTAATCCTTCATTGAATTCAGTTTTACTCCTCCCACGCGAAGCGCGGAAACGTCGACGTTTCATTAGATCATAAGAGAAAGAAGACGATTCGTTGTACCGTTCTCGACTCTTAATCCTTGTCTGAATTGAGTTCCCCCTCCCCCTCCTGATATGAGTGAAGCGCGGAAACGTTGACGTTTCATTAAATTATTGGAGAAAGAAGATGATTCGTTTTACCATTCTCGACTCCCAATCCTTGTCTGAATTCAGTTGCCCCCCTCCCGAGCGATGAGCGGAAGCTTTGACATTTTCATTAAATTATTAGGGAAAGAAGACGATTTGTTGTACCGTTCTCTATTACACCTACCATGGATAAATCACGGCCGGGAGCGTCATAGTTTTGTGTTATCGGGCGAGGGCCGGGGCCGGGGCGTAGCGACCAAGCGAGATTTTGCAATGTTGAATGCTGAAATTATGCATTCTAGAAAATCCCTAAGCCCGATATGTACATTGTTTCCGCTATATTTATTTCTAGCTATATTTCTAAATTTCCTGGGAGACTTGTCCTCATATCGGGCCCATGATTGCCGCCCCTGTCCATGATTACAACCAACATGAGTTCAAATACAAGCACAAGCGAGTCGATATGAGCTGAATCCAAATGAAGGGCAAAATAAGAGTTGTGAAGCGACCCTACCGTTAATTTAAAATTTGACTGTTGAGTATATAACTTCATTTAAAAGACATCCAAAATAATGTGCCCTTTTCAAATTTCTCACTAAAGAGTGTTGACCGCAGGGGCTGTTCTTAACGTTTAACTTTGAATCCGCGGCTCTAGATTTTATGCGACCGGCCCGGCCCCCCTCTATTCAATAACGTTTACCAATGAGCCTTCTGGAATGACCCCAGATCTCCCGATTACAGTTTTCCCATATTTGTCGTCACTGTCACTTAGCGCCATTTCCTTGTCTTTCCCCCTTTTTCACCGACTTTTCTTTTCCTCACCCCCCCCTCCCCTTCCTCTTAGTGTTATCTAGGGTACGCACAGTCATGTATGTTCCCTCTCTTTGAAAGCACCCCTCTATCTCCCTTGTGTAAAGTCAGTACGGGCCGGATTTTTGTGTATTGTGGGCCGGTCTTTGTTTCGTGAAAAGTAACTCTTTTCACGAAACTTTTTTCACTCTTTTAATTTAGGGAACACATTTTGGTCCCTCCGACTCCGGAGTTGGAGGGAGGGGAGGGGGGGGGGGGGGGGGGGGGGGGGGGGCTTTTTCTTTTTTTTTTCTCTTCTCTTTTCTGTTCTCTTTTTTTTCCTTTCTCTTCTCCTTTCTTTTCTCTTCTCCTTTTTTTCCTGTGAACTTTCCTTTTCTTTGAATGGAATTGTATATGCGATTTAATTCAGGTTTTTATTATTGTTATGTTCTTTTGGGTTAAAAATACAAACCATGTTTACTCCTTTACTGCTTTTTTTTTTTTTTTTTTGGGGGGGGGGGGCAGTTGCCCCCCCCCCCAGCCCCCCCCCCCCAGCCCCCCCTCCCCCCCCCTTGAGAAAAAAATCATGTAAAATCACGTGATTTTTACCTTTTTGGGGGGTTGGGCCCCCCCCCCCCCCCCTGGCGCTCAAGGGGGGGGGGGTGCAAATTGAATTTTTGGCCGGCGCGTTTTTCAAATTTTCGGGAGCAAAAAAAAAAAAAAAAAAAAATAAAATAAATAAATTGTGCTCTGTATGACACCAACCCACCCCCTCCCCCCCCCCCCCCCCCCACTGAGCGACTTTTCGGCCGGCGCGATTTTCAAATTTTCGGGAGCAAAAAAAAAAAGAAAGTTGGGCCCCCTCCCCTAAGAAATCCTGGATCCGCGCCTGCCTATGCTTGTAATACTCTATACAATTTCCCCCCTTTTCTTTTCAAATAAAAGGAAGAAAACAAAATATAAATACAACATGATAGTAAGACAATATACATACAGGGCGTATCATAATAAAGGATATTGAAGTTTAATGACGATTTATATGATCACTACTGATTTTATAATCAAGCATTTTATGTCTGTTGTAAAGGACAGAATGTCCTCTTTTTAATGACACCCCGATCATACTACTACTGTCACAGTTGACTGAATAACAAAGCATTGCTGTCCACCATGTGAAAGGTGCACTGTGACAAGTTAGCATTCACAGATAAATTCTAAAGATTAGTGCTTGTGTCAGCCCCGACATATCGAAATGATGAACAATGAGTGGATTATGTGTCTAAGAAGGAAATGTTATCAAACTTGGCACAGTGCACCTTTCACATGGTGGACAGCAATGCTTTGTTATTCAGTCAACTGTGACAGTAGTAGTATGATCGGGGTGTCATTAAAAAGAGGACATTCTGTCCTTTACAACAGACATAAAATGCTTGATTATGAAATCAGTAGTGATCATATAAATCGTCATTAAACTTCAATATCCTTTATTATGATACGCCCTGTATATCTTTTATGATTACCAAATTTAGATCATCCGACAGCTCCACCCTATTCCTGATTCCAAACTCGTGGGAGACAGTGAGCATGGGAATACAATGCCTTTTACAATACATAATTACATCGCGAAACAATCAATGACCTTTCGTATGTACAGACAAGAACAATTAAGGAAAACAAGGAGTAGAAGGAGAAGAGAGTGGAGGAGGAGGAGGGGGTGGGAGGAGGAGGAGGGGGAGAAGAAGGAGGAGGAGGGGGGGGGGGGGTGAGAGGAGGAGGCCGGAGAAAGAAATAAATGGGGGGGGGGGGGGGAGGAGGTAGAACCCCTTATCGGTAGCCCATGCTCCTCCTCCCGCCCTTCTCCGTGGGCCCCGTCATTATGATTTCAGTTTTCGATTTTCTGTACGAACACACAGTAGATCATGCAACTGCAAGCGCAAGATGGCAGTAGTAAATATCAGCGGAAGTGTTTGGAGTTCAATACATTTTGATAACAGTTGTCGTGATGGCGATCAGGTAATATGATATATTATTCTGTGATTTGGGAAGATTATTTGTAAATTTTAGATGTCATATTACCATCAGAACTTGGTAAAATTGGAATAGGAAATCAGAGGTGGGGCAGTCATTTCTTTTAAGCAGTCCCATACGTTGAAAATCATGTTAGGTCTTTGCGTGTAATTTCAGACAGCTTGGGCGCCTTGGCCATCAGCGTCGGTTCATTGTTTCTTTCTTCAGAAAAACAGGCGAAGGATCTTAGTCACACTCAACCCCATAGCCGCAAGCGATTTCTGTTGAATGTTCATGACTCACACCCTTGGTGTATTTAAATCTAACAATGCATTGTACATCTAGAAAGAAATTAGACCCAAGTTTTAAACTATTTTAGACCAAGTCGTAACAATTTTTCTTCAATTTTGCCTTTGAAGTTAAGGAGAAATTGCGAGAAAAAAAATTGATTCACATGCAGTAGCATATATAACCGATAACATAAACAAATTCTATGAAAACCTGTGGAAAATTGCAATGCAACCCTGTGTTGTATTTCTTGACATGGGCTCGAGACGATTAACTCAATTTTTCTTGAGTCGCTCTAGAGTCTCCTCTAGGCTATAATTTAAAGATCAGTTTCCAATTGAATTATTTGGAAGATACCATTTATTTGTTTGTTCTTGTACAATACGTGTACAAAGTTTAGTTAAAGTAGTGTCACGCAGTTTGATTAAGATATTTGATGTAATATTATGTATATATTTTATTCAATGCTTTAGTCTACTTTACAACTATCCATGATTATTGTACTAGTATATGTTAAGGATGTCTTGCTATAATTACGCTATTACAAATCCAGCCAGCTCGATCTCAATTGCTTTGCATACAGCGGAGTTCTATTCTCTCCTCACTTTGACCTTGCATTCACTTTCAGAACTTTCACTCTGTCCCTTCTCACTTTGACTTTGCCTGACTTTCAGAACTTTCACTCTGTCCCTTCTCACTTTGACTTTGCCTGACTTTCAGAGCTCTCGCTCTTTCCCTTCTCTCTTGTTTGCCCGAAACTCTCATTTCAACCTTGCACTGTCCTTCAGCCCTTTCAGCTTGCTTCTTGTCTTGACTTTCTCCTGTCCTTGTATCCTCTCTCTCAATATGACTTTGAGCTCTCTATTTATGTGCTCAATGACGCCCTTCTCCCTAAATACTCCGCAGCGCGATACTTGTGACCTACATGACTGGTCTTTCTCTATTTCTCTCGAAGGGTATATAAGACAGACTGCATTCGTATCTTAGGCAGTTAGGAGCGAAGAATCTGTCAGTGAAGAGTGAAACTAGTGAGCTGTCGAGAGTTAATTGTGTCAGTTAGTGTGACAAGCCTGTCATCACAGTGTTTGAAGCGAGAGTACTTTACGAATGGGATAGAGAGCCAACCTGTTCAGAAATGGTCTCCAGTCATGTTAGTCTATCTTTTTAGCCTGTTCTAACGCCTGCTGCATTATTTTGCCTCTCGGATTCGCAAGACATTCTCTTTTATCCATCCTTGTAAATGTGTTTGGGTTTGCTGTAATAAACTCTTCAACTGTAATTCCTGCCTCTCGAGTGTTTATTCTCCCTGAATCTCGGCCATCCCTATACAACTAAACTTCAACATATAACGGGGCTAATATATTTTGGGGCTTTTACTTCCTATTGTCGAACAATATAAGTCGCCGTTACACTGGTGTCAGAAGTGGGATACAGACTTTAACACGTGCTTTAAATACGATACAATGTCTCCGAGGAAGCGAAAAGCCGATCTTGAGAGAGAGATCAGGGAGTTAAAGGCAGAACTCAGCATCGCCAAGAAACAAATCGGCGAGCCGAATGATATCGACAATGACAATGATGCTAGTGAAAATACTGAATGGAGAGGTGAAAATGAGGTGTCCATTCACACTGGAGTGAAAGTCCAATTACCCCCCAAGAGCCGTATAATGGTACAGGACGATCATGGGAGAGTTTTGTATCGTCTTTCAGAAACCTCGCGGCTACTTGTGGCTGGGAGGAGTCGGAGCAGCGTGTTCGTCTTCTCGCCTGTCTCCGAGGTGATGCAGCCGATTTTGTCTTCCAGCAGCTCGCCCCAGACGACATCGCTGACTTCGGGAATTTGATATCTGCGCTCGAGCATCGGTTTGCTGCACGAAAGACGCCTTCTACGTTTGTGTCGCAGCTAGAATTACGTCGTCTTGGTCAGAGGGAATCAATTGCTGACTATGCTGCAGATATTCGCCGCCTCACGACATTTGGCTACCCGACGGCGGATGCTGCAACAAGGGAGATGATCGGGACCCGCCATTTTCTTCGAGGGCTTGGTGATAGCTCTATGGCTATGGCTATAGGGATGCGAGAGCCAGCGACTCTCCAAGAAGCTCGGGAGATTGCTGAGCGATTTCACCATCTCCAAGAGGAATCCGGCAGAGGAGCTCGACAAATCCGATCGGTGTCAGCGACGTCAGAGGACGCGGTGAACAATGAAAAGTATATTGAGTTAAGGCGCCGCATCATCTCCATCGATGAGCGAATCGAACAACTTTCCAAACTTTTTCAGCAGCCGCCACGAGATAATCCAGATAGACCAGCGAGACAACAGAGGGAGCAGCAACCTCGTGATCGACCACCACCTCGTTGCTATAATTGTCAGAAGCTCGGTCATCTTGCCCGTAACTGTCGTGTACCACCCCAAAATGGTGGCCAAATTCCTGTACCCCAGTATGTTAGCAGTCGACCGAACTGGGTGCCGCAACAACCGCCACCACCTCCACAATGGCAGCAACCTCTTCCTTTTCAGCCGCAACCGCCGCAGCAACAATTCCCACCACCCCGGCAATGGCAGCCACACGTACCATTCCAGCCGCAACCACCGCAGCAACAACGGGCAGCAGAACCAGCCATGGACAATACTTCGGGAAACTAAACAGGGCCGACCTCATCGACCAGGTCGAGGCCGGCCATGGAGTTAAATCGGGCCCTAGAATAATTCGCATTGATGAATCGAACGGACTAACAGCGTATATCACAGGAAATGTGAATGGGGCCTCGTGCAAACTTTTGGTCGATTCTGGGGCAGCAGTGACAGTTATGTCGATAAAACTGTATGAACAAATGCCCACCGAAACTCGCCCAAAATTAATCCCCTTGTCGGATCATGTTCAGCTCCAGTCAGCGGATAAAGGAATTCTAAATGTACATGGAATTATTGGAGCAACTGTGAATGTTGGTTCTAAAGATTTTGAATGGAATGCATACATTGCAGATATAAGTGATGAAGGTCTGCTTGGCTTTGATTTTATGCACCATTTTAATTGTACCCTCGAGGCCAGACGTGGGCTTCATATTGATAATATTTTGATTCCAATCGAACTTCAGGACTGTAATTCTATTAGAAGTGCAGTTTATGTGAAATATGATGTTGTGGTGCCGCCCAGATGTGAGTTCATTGTACCAGGGAAGATAGACAATTGTGATATTGATTCCCAAGCATGTGCTATTATTGAGCAAACCGCTCATGAGTGGAATATAAAGAATCTTCATGTCGCGGGATGTCTCATCGATGTAACTCGGAATGATATTGACATACCAGTGCGAGTCGTTAACACATCAAGTGAAGAAATTAATCTTCATGCTGGAATGCGAATAGGTTCAATGGAATTAATCAGTGATGTATGTGATATGTGTAATAATGATGTAATCAAGAGTTCAAACCCCAGCATTCGCACAGTAAAGGCTGATTCGAATAAAGAGGTTTCGCAAAAGAACTGGCCAGATGACTTACAGACATTATATCAGAAATCATGTGAAGGATTAGACCCGCATACACAGGATCAGTTATTTGCCTTGCTGGATAAACATTCATCTACAATTGCATCTTCTTCTACTGATATTGGACGAACCTCCATTGTTCAGCACAGCATTGACACTGGAGATGCAGCTCCAATCAAGCAGCGACCCCGTCGCCCACCTCGAGCATTCATAGATGAGGAGGAGAAAATAATCGAGACACAACTGCAAATGGGCATCATTCGGGAATCAACGAGTGCTTGGTCGAGCCCGCTTGTGTATGTCAAGAAGCGTGACGGCACGACCCGGCCCTGCGTTGACTACCGAAAACTAAATGACGTCACAAGAAAGGATGCCTATCCACTACCTCGCATAGAAGACTGCCTAGATTGCTTAGGAGGTGCACAAATCTTCTCAACTTTAGACTTACAGTCAGGTTACTGGCAGATAGACATTAAAGAGGAGGATCGTCACAAAACAGCATTTAGTACACGGACTGGACACTACGAATATGTCACGATGCCATTTGGACTATGCAATGCTCCTGGCACATTCGAGCGTGCAATGGAACTCATCATGAAAGGCCTTCAGTGGCGAACCTTGATTTTATATCTTGACGACATCATTGTTATGAGCCCGACTATTGGGGAGCACATCAACCGTCTCGACGAGGTTCTCGGGCGCCTTGGACAAGCAGGACTTAAGCTAAAGCCAAGTAAGTGTCATCTCTTCCAAACTGAAGTATCTTACCTTGGACATGTCGTCAGCGCGGCTGGCATCAGGCCTGACCCGGGAAAGGTTGAACAAGTGCGGAACTGGCCGACACCGACATCGATAAGCGATGTCCGTTCTTTCCTTGGTTTTTGCTCCTACTATCGCCGGTTCATCCGTGGATTTTCGACAATTGCGGCTCCTTTGAACAGGCTACTTGAAAAATCTAGTAAATTCGAATGGAATGACGACTGTAAATCAGCCTTGGAACAATTGAAAAACGTACTGGTTAGCGACAACGTCATGGCCTACCCCGATGACCACGGCATGTTCATTCTTGATGCCGACGCATCTTCTTCGGGAATAGGCGCGGTCTTATCTCAAATCCAGTGGGATGACGTCACCCAACGAGAAGTTGAGAGACCAGTCGCTTTTGCTAGCCGGACATTGACCAAAACTCAACGCCGATATTGCACTACACGACGGGAATTGTTGGC